CGAATGTTCCGTCGTAATTATACGCCCAAAATTTCCTATTCTATTGTTTTTTTAATATATAGTTAATAATAGATGTTCTATTGTTTTTATTTCATTGAGGCTGTAACAAGATGCCGATACAACAAAATTACTATACGCTGGCGAGTACATCTCTTACAACAATTGTTCCTCATTTGCTTTGATGATATTGGCCAGATACGAGCGTGATAATCAATCTTTAATTAAGCAACCTGTAGTCAGTTTTGTGCCCGGGTTGCAGTACCTACTGGCGCATTATATTTTTAAAGAACCTGGCTAGAAACAGCCACATTGGAATCCGGGATTCCGTTTAAGTTAGCTTTTTTTCTTTATCATCAACTGTAATTTCCTACCTAAATCAGGCTCTCTTCCAGATACCCACATTTACAGCTACTTATCTTCTGCGATAAAAAACCAAAAAGATGTGTGTCCAGGAGTCTTTTTCCGTGATGTGAAATGTGATTAAAAAAGAAAACACATTACTTACCTTCTTCCAAAGCGCGAAATTTCAATGTGTCTGTACTGGGACATCGTTCTTCGCAGCGGAACTCGCCGATTTGAAGAGACATTTCCAGGGTCATTTTGAACTGGAGATTTCTCTTCTAAAGGGATTATGTCTGCAGAAAATGTAACCCTGGGCGAGCACTGGGTTGTCGCTCTAGTACCTGTATCACTCATCCCAATTTGTAACCGTATCTCTAGAAAGGCTCGATATTCTCAGTATGACACTGCTAGCGCAGACTGCTAGCAGTGCGTTAACGAAGTAGGCAACTGCAAGAGTAAAATGACTATCAGTTCGACTGCCAGCACTCTTATGAACAATTCGACGCAAGCTCTCACTTTTTCAAGTTACTATTCTATGCTATACGGAACGTATGTACGGATATTTATAATGAGATTAATTCTTAAAGCAGAAGCTAAATAGCCAAATCTGGTAGTAGATTGACCGTCATAGGACACTTGTCAATCTGTAATTACGAAAAACTAAGGCAGGATAAAGGAAAACCACGATTTTTCGGTGAGTAAGCCTTCAAGGGACATATGCTATTCAGGCATCATTACTAATAACAACTTCATTAGTTAACGATCAAGCGATATTGCTTTGTAAGGGAAAGACATAACATCTTCCGTCACCCTCGCCACCGGCTTCTATCATAAATGAATCTCGCTGATTTGTCGGAAACTTGCCTATTTATCGCTTCCGCATACGGCGCGACAGGGGCTGTGTTTGAAAATTGCGCTTGACGAAAGCGTGTAAATGTGGGGGCGGCAGGAAGAACATTGAGCTGGGTGCAACGTCTCAAACCACCGACGTCACAGTCATCATGACACCTCTTTATCTCAATTAATATGACAACGACTCACGAAAAGTCGTAAACCAGGTTCAGAACAAAAGACCCTCTTCGTGATGTAATGCCTTCGTCGACGTCGCTTGCTTCTTAGTTCAACGCATTGGCTACTTCGGGTCTTTATTTATGTAATGACGGACCAGATCATACCGGACACCTAGTTTTTACCAAGGATCTAGTTATCGTTATTTTGTCTAGTCCATAGCACTATCTTGGTTGTATTTAATATATCATCTTCTCTAGTACATGCTAAGACTGCGAAAGGTTCTTGTACCAACAGTGACAACTTGGCTCCGTAAGAAGAGCAGCTCTAAAAGTGTTACTGCAGGGAGATAATAAGTATTCTTAATAGAGTTATTACAAACAATATTGACAATTTTTATATAATAATCGGCAATTAGCTCTGCTAGCCCAGCGGTGTTATAGCGCCAGACGGCGATCGTCTGAACCTATGTATTGTACTGGGTCATTATTATAATGACTTATAGTAGCTAGCCTGTATGACCAAATAAAACTTCGTGATTAGGGAAATAGGAAGATATATTGGAACTCACATATAAGTTAATGCCGTTCTCTATACGCAATACTAAAGTGACAATAAAACTTTTAACAGCAAGAACCATTTATCGCAAGTCGAATACAAATAAACGTGTCTAACTTTTTGGAGATTGTAAGTTTTCAGCCTTCAGCGAATAGTGCAAGCAATAACTTCAGGCAAGTTAGTTCTTAGTGTATTCCTCAAGACTCAAGGCGACGTTCAGAGATTTGATCGTTTCCGTCATGGGCATGAATAGTGAAAACGATTTTAAATCATTTTCAATATTCATGTCTACGGTATAGCTTTTATCAACAACTGTACATATGGTTGTATAAGATGTTGTAAGATAAACACTGCGCAGACAGCTTTCCTCGCGTGATGTCAAGTTCGCCTATAAATACGGTGATGTTTGTCCGTGTCTTTATTGTCACTAAATTAATATATGCGATACTTGTATGATACCCAAAAAGATTTACCTCATTTTACAGGATGGGGCAGCTAAACTATGTGAACTTTCAACTTACTACTTGTCGTAGCGAGCATACTATTCCAAGTACTAGCCAGATCTCTTTCGGATAAATCAATGCATTTGCTAAGGCGGAAAATAATGTGGTCTTTTCTAAATTTTAGCTGTATCAATGTCTTTGTGCTGGACGAAGGGTCGGCGAGGTGATAAACTTTCTGGGTTAGCCAAATCGATTGTGTATAACGCAGATCACTGTGTGAGCGCAGAAAGGGAAAGTCTCAGCACACTACAACTGACACAGTACAAAAGAAAATCCACGACAAAGAAAACACAGTGCGGACGCTCGAGACATGCTGTCGAAAAATGCATTTCCGATGATCCTTGTTTTGATCAGGTCATTAGCGGAGAGATTTGGCAATTATTGTCCGATGAAAAAGCATCCATGATCAGTGTATCAGTAAAAATCAACGGCAGCTACGAATTCTGACTTGACCGGGCTTCAAAGGATGTACCTGTTGTGGGTAAAACGAAACTTCTGCCCAATTTTCATGTGCTAATGTTGGTATCCAGTGAACGATATGTTAGGTTACCATACTTCTTCTAAAAAAGCGAACCCATTATTAAAGAAACCTATCTCATATAAGCTATATTTACTATACTTACTCATACAACTATATTTACCTGAAATGTTTATAAGGAACTAACATATCTCCCACCAAGATGGTAAGCTGATTCCATATGAACCAATTAGTGCAGGACTGGCTGCCTGAGGATATCAGCATGGTCTGGAATAAACACACATGGCCGTCTAAAAGGCCCGCCTAAAACATTTGAATTTGTCGGACCATCATGTATGAACTGTTAGTAAACAAGAGCTTAACAAGTCTCGACATTACGCCGTCGACTCTTATTTGTATATCAAAAAGGCACTCACTACCATAAATATATGTAACGATTTATGACGAAAGCTGAAGCTGCAATCGCGGTGAAGGGTAGTGATTAACTAATAACTTTTCCTTAGCCAGCAGGTATTATGGTGGCAAGGTAATGTTATCCATGGTTTACGTGGCGGTTCCAAACTTTTTTTTATCTATATGGTAAGGAAAAACTAAATGCGTGACTGCAGCCCAGGTCTCACTTCTGAGATCTCCTACCTCAGTAACTTAGGGCGCTACTGGCAGACAAGGAAGCTTTGAACCCGAGGCAAAAGGTTTCCCAGTACTCTATCACGGGGATACAATAGACAGAACAAAATTAAGGTCTCATACCGAAATAATACTAAATACATTTTGGAAATTTTCAACTTTTACAATTTCACTTATTTATTGACTTGTGCACATGGGTCGCAAGCTGTTGTAGCTTCCTGTAACGGGTTCCAATGTTGCCCAACCAGGAAATTCTTATAGGTACATTTTTTATTTGATTTGGCTTACTAACAGAATGAGCTTCAAATACTGGCATAGGCGCTCTGATCGTCTCCATTGATTGCCAAGTGGCACGTCCCTTAGCATCGAGAAGAGTTATGTTCAAAAAGGTGTGACTAACTACATATATTCGATATGCTATACTTTTTGCTCCTCAAGAGGTCACGCAGACCTTTGAATTTGTAATGTATTTTCGAATTAGCAGTCCCAGACGGCTACGTTCTAGTCAGTTATTCCCAGTGAGCATTGCTGAAAGCATGAACGCGAGGCACCAGATAAAAAGAAGTAAAAGTTTGACATAACTGATATTAACACAATCTAGGTAGATCTGACACTAACATTGGTTAGTGAATTACGAAGATAATGTCGGATAAGGAAATCTATCGAAAAACTCAAATCCTCCTTAGCAAAATGTGAAGATTCAGGTATGGCTAGGTAGATTCATAACATCTAGTATAAATAATACTCCTCACTTTACAATACGCTCTCTCTTACTACCGCCATCACTCGTGCTTCACCTGCACACTCGTTTTTTGTTTTCACAGAACAGCACCTCTTGGCGCTCTACCGCCGTCGCGGACAGCGCTTTATCTGTAAAATGCGATACCCGTCGTGAAATGACCGCTGTTAATCGTAACCTTCATGCAAGCGCCAGTTTTTTTTTGTCTCCCTCGCACCAATCATTTTCCTTTTTTCCAGGTTTTTTAATAAACCTTTCTTGTCTAATCTCGTTTTTGTTTGCAATCGGCCATCATTAGCAGTCCTATTGAACCTTAAAACGTATACTGACAACAACCAATTATTAACTTGCTACCGCATAAGCCCATTTTGTTCTCTTAAGCCTATTTATACGAATGTTATATGTTGCGCATTATTTATTGCCCTGCCTTATAGTTCCACGGTATTAAAAATTGTACATTTAGGCTAACGTAGGCCAATATAGCGAAATACTTGACTTTGACAACCATTTCAGTTCGACAGCAAACGGACTATTAATTAGAAATTACTAATGTTATATGTCAAATCGTCTGTCATGACAGTAGTAGCAAAGAAAAGAATTCTAAAATCAGAATATAAATTAAAAAAGTACTTCATAAATGGGACTAGTCAATTAATATTTTGTATTTGCCCGCCACAAGCTCCCGCCCATCTTGCTACAAACTCATCCATTCTTCGACAAGCAGCAGAATCAGTTGCAGCATTGACGAACTAACCACAAAAACATTGTGCGCGTTGTCTCAGCGCTGCTGCTGGTGGTATTGTGCTGGAAGTTTCCACGTTTCATTTTGCGTTTGTAGTCATCGGGGGTGGAGCCGCATTTGCACATCGACAACATGACGGGAACCGCAGAGTAAGTATGCCATTATTTGTTAAGCTCATAGTCTGACTGAGCATAATCGTTGATCGCCTCACTGCGACGCGAACATTGACATAACAATTGCACGGAGTTCGGATTTGGCCATGTCTCTCTCAGGCCTGTCTTGAGATCCGTCCAGAAATTTCTGGAATTCAGCTGGCGGCTGTGCAAGGCAGCCGTCTGTCGATGCCTTGGTGCAAACGATCGTACCAGCTTTGAAAGCCGGTCGAATATCATAATATAGCCGATAGTACAGTAAAGCCGGCGTTATAGTTGCACGATCTTCGTGCGTCGGTGAACGCATGTTTCATGCTGTCGAGAACGAAGTGGTCCTTCACCGGCGTCAGGATGCGAGTCCTGCAATTGCAGGACGCTTATTTTTGTTGTCGCTTTAGAGCCACCTAAACGAAGTGCTCAGCGAAATTTGGTTGATGAAATCGGTCTGTGAATATGTATAGTGTCAGTTTAACACGTGCAAAACGCAAGTTTGGATGGCCACACAGGTGGAAGAAGAGTCAGCCATTAAATGAAGAGACCGAACCGGTGCTTCTAATATTATTAAGAAACAATGCTTGAATGAAGATAATATATTAGGTAAATCATTGGTACACGCAGTTCTGCACGATTCTATGCGTGTACACCTATTATTATTACGCAAACGAAGTTCAATGTTTGTTTAAACGTTGAAATCCGTTTGCGCCGTGATCGAGTGTATTCACGCATACCCGAAACAAAAAAGATTTCGTGTACCTATTTATCGCGATCATTGGCTTTGTTACCGTAATGTTCTTTTCTATCGCGGAAATCAGTCTGATCATCTTACCAAGAAAGGTCTAGTTAGCGCTCAATGAACTTGTGTATTTGAATCGTCACGGCATTATTGGGATGACGGGAGATGCCGGAAATCATCAGTTTCATTATGGCTAACACGAATGGGCCGTGCGAGGGTGTAAAGTTTATATGTTGAGAGCTTAAGTTAAATTCTATGATAAATGAATAAGCTCAGCAGCGCGCTTCAAGCTTTGCACGGATTATCTGACCTCTCCTGTTTTTGGAAGTTTCTCATGGTTTAGTTTAAGTTTTAAGTTAATAATCAAGTTACACTTATCTAATTGTATATGCTATGACAGGCGATTAACTTTTTCAAAAAATGCGAGGTGTTTTCCTATTGTTCAATAAATTACTTAAGGAATAAATATGGCCGGAGAAAGGACACTCGATAAGGTTCGGCAGCTAGACCTGTCTCAATGAGATAATCCTTGCGATGTTAATCCAGCTAGTCACGTCCAGATCGATAAAGATGGTATCAGCTTCTTCCTAATATACACTGATTCACTTTTGAAAGCCAAACATGAGGCTACCGCTGGTTTGTTACCGAAGTGGCGGGCAACGAATTTCAATAAGATTAATCATGCACATAAAGACTGTAACATAAACTACGGCGCTTTGATTGTTTGTTGTTTAACAGTAAAAATGCCGATACTTGTCGCACTACAAGTAGAATATGAGCAACTTGGCCAGATTTATTTAACACGCCAATAGGCATATTAAGCTAAGTTTATTTTGTGAATGCGCGCTTATATGGAGATCATGATAGCAAATGGACTAGTGAAACCTGAAACAGCAACTGACCTGCTGACTGACAGCTATAGATTTAATCTTCATCACTCTGTCCCGCAAACGACGCACCCGTATTTTTCGTATATTAATTAGTACTCTCGTTGTTTACGTTATTTAAGACATTTCAATTTAGGTACGTAGCGTTTTTCTTTTACATCGATATCAATATAAATAATTCTATTTGAATTCAGTTTTATATCAACATTCTATTATAGGATCTTAAAAAACTACTGAAAAAGAAACTAAGATTAGAGTATAGTTGTTTTAGATCATCATCTATAAACTTAGTTGTTACCGGAGTAACTCGCTTGGTGCGTGCCACGTGTATTATTAAACTTGCGGGATTTGTTTCGACGGACTAACAAACTGTTACAAACAAAAATTACTGTTTAAAGCAAGCTTTAGGTAGGTCTACTAGGTAACGAAAAACTGTGTTAGCAGGATGACACTGACAACGATGTTTCCAAAAAACATAACTACTTTTTATTTTGATGATTGTATAGGGTCCGCAATCCAGTCGTTCTGTGGGCGCAGCGGAAAGATTGCGTGTATCTTACGGTCGCGGTTGAGGACTGCAAAAATGCTCAAGTGAAGATCGAGAGCGACAAGGTGATTTTCAAAGGTACTGGCGGTGATAAGCACACGTATGAATGCACGCTAACTCTGTATGGGAAATTGAAGGTAGACGAAAGTAAGTTTGTGACTCGCGATCGTGCTACCGAAATGTTGTTGGTCAAAGAATCCAAAGGCGAATATTGGCCGCGCCTGCTCAAAGATACGACAAAAATGCATTGGCTGAAGGTCGATTTTAACAAGTGGAAGGACGAAGATGATTCCGACGCCGAGGATATGTCTGGTGGTAACTTTGAAGAAATGATGCGCCAAATAGGAGGATTTGGTGGTCCTGATGCGGCCGGAGGTAAAGTGTCAATTTTACAAATTTCGAAAGAAAGTCGTTTGGGTTGTGTTGTGTTGTATGTGCTTACACTGGCGTCCACGCTAGGTTCTCTCATAGCTTGGGCGAACGCGCTGGTTTATTCGTCAAGCGCCAAATATCTTATGAGACAGTTTTGTGAGATTTGCATGTGAATTAACGTTGTTTGAGCAGGATAAAGCATGCGTTTCTGTTGCCAGTAGGAGAATTAGTGTCAACCTTTCAATTTTTTGTAGTGAGAGGCAAGAGTAACTCTGGTGTCAATTTCTGTACGTATTTATGAATATTTAGGCGACTTCGATGACGAGGTAGACTCAGATGACGAAGGCCTGCCTGACCTCGAGCCAACGAAGGCCGATAATATTGTCGAGTCCAAGGACACGAAGGAAGACGAGGAAAAGAAAGAATAAATGTGTGACAAAACGATTTCCTATAAACGAACACATAACAAAAGGGTTCGAAAGTGGAGTGAGTGTCGTCCTGGGTTGAGAGGGCTACAAGTGGGAGATAGCTATATATATGTGTATATATATATGTATATGTATATATATACATGTGTATATATATATATATATAATATATATATATATATATACACATATATATATATAGCTATATATATATATATAAAGAACTGATGATACACTTCTGATTTCGCTGAGTTGCTTGGCTTTTGCCATTGCTCCCTACAGCGAAGAATCAGTAACACCAGCATTAAGTTGGCAAAGCGAAACTGCTGAATGAGCGGATAACTGCTGGATGTGGGCGAACAAAGTTCGGGTGAGTCGTGCGGTCTGAGATTGTTTGGAAGAAAATCAGCGACACAGTGTGGGACGCTTCCCTCTTAATAGTTTTGCTGTGGAACTATATCGGAGAAAAACGATTCAGGAGATATGAAAAGCTGCGCGATAGTAAACAAAGAAAAGCCTGCCCTTCTACCATAAAAAGGCGCCGATAAAATGGCGTAATTCAACTCGCACCTGCAGTTACTCGGATTGTGTAATGTAAATGAAAAAAAACATGCGGTCTAAAACGACATTTCAGCCCTGCGGTACCGCTATAGTCTATGTATATATTATATACATTCATTAAAAACAGGATGAGGACACCCTTAATGAATAATTACAACAAAACGACAATAAAGCTCTACTATAAGCGGAATTTGGATTTCTTTTGCAGTAGATATATGGGAGCCATGTAGCTATCTCTGCTCTTTCCTGAACTTAAGAGAATCAATAATCGTTTCTTAAACTAAAGAGAGTTACGCTGGAGAGTAACTTTTTGGGAACGTGCGTTAACTTTTCTGTTAGGGTGAATTCACGAATTTTAAGAGACAATATTTGTTCGTAAAATTTTAATTAATTTAATTATAAGCTGTTCTAGTTTTAGTGAGTATGAAGTACCGAGTGCATGGATAAATTAACACGTTGATCCTTTTGCAATTTATTTCCCCAATGTTTTTGTATGTGTGTACGCCGTTTCACGTCTAATGGTCTGCCCTAGCATGGAACGAAGTGTCGACGGTCGGTTTCAAACCCAAACCCACCCTCTCGCATGTCTTTAAGTCAGGTGACCACTGCACCATCTCGAAAGCAATGGGTTTTAGCATCGAAAGTTTGTGCTTTACAAAAAATTACGATTCGTCGAGGTTAAGCTGTGCCGCTAATAAACGTGCACATCCATTTTCGATAAAGGGTCATATATCTGACAGCAGAATCATTGATAACCACGAGAGTCTAAGAAAAAAACGTAGTTTAGTTTGGAAAGGGACACGTAACACATTTAATACATTTCCCTTCAGTTCGTGAAAAAAGTATAATTCCTGGAAGAACTGCTACTACGACACCTGAAACTGGATTTCTCACTGCACACCAAAAGTCGTGAGAACAGAATGTGTACCAAACTTCAAATATTCAACCTAGCAAGCTTGATAGAAAATGGTTATGAAGCATCTTGCGCGCTAGGCAAAAATAGCAAAAATATTTTCGAAGCATAAGAATTTTCCTCTAGACTTAAATAACTGAATGATATCAAAATGTATATTGTATTTGACAAAATAAATGGATTAATAATAGTCAGCGACCCTGAACTATTAAAAACACTAATGATTATTTATGCTGTTAGCCTTAATGCGTGTGGTGAAGCCATTATGGTCGAATGAAGAATACGTTTTCATTATTGGGAATTTTTTTGAACATGGGTACGTGTTATAGATAATACTTAGATGTCGCATTTACTTCCAGGTAAAATACTGACAAGCTGGAAAATATGCATATACAGTATTCCTAACTATTTAGCGTACTTACGATACACTTATTTTTAATAGATGTGAAAAGAAAATATGCAAGGTAAGCATTCTGGACCTTAGTAAGGTTAGCGCTAAAGTAAATATTTTTCGTTAGCTTTATTTGCGATCCATTAGTCTAGGTTTTCGAACGATGTTTAATTGGTTCATATCTGGTTAACTTCAGCAGCCCTTCATGTCAGTCTTGTTTAGGTACTACTCGATTTTGACATAATTTAAGGTTTATTCTTGCACTTTTTATTTTAGGCGATTTGGCGGTTCTTATAGGCGTAGCGTAAAGCTGCACTATAGCCTGCAAGCAGCGCAAAAAAAGAACACTGTGCAGGTGCCTGATTAGCTGATTAATTTTTTATTTTATTTGTCTGTTCATGGCCCCTTCGGATGTATTTCAGATTTAATTGAGCTTCTACTGGATATAATAACTAATATTCTCGACGCATGCCTATCATATGACCGGACTGAAACGAGCAATTTCCGGACCTCGCTCTGTAAGAAATAAAACAGTCTGCATCAGATTAACTTTTATCATTTATATCTATGCATATGCTATTTTATATATTTAAAAAAACTATTAATGTTCACTATTTTTTTTGCTACATTTGGTATAGACCTTTTAAAGCATCGTTGCAATTCTTGATCCCAGCGACTTATAAAGCAATGACAACTTATCTGAAGCATACGATAAGACGACATAGATAAACAAGAGATCAATTACTAAAATCGGTTCAGGCCAGGTGACATTTCTATTATTTCGAAAATAATTTTGTAAGTAAAATGGTTATATCCGATTGACGAAAGCTCGCAGAGAGTATATTTGGAGCTAAAGAATAAAGATACTAAAGGGAATCCTAATTTTCTTTTATAGCGGAATAAATGGCAAGCAAAAGCTGGAAAGATGTTGGTCGAAGCAATCGCCACCTGATGTCCGCATTTGCTACTCACAGATACAGGGCCCTCTAAGCCTTTTTAAATTATTTTCGAGATAGAATGAGAGTGTGGTAGTGGCTAGGTTCCGCAGAAGTATCATGATAGAAGTTAATACGAAGAATTCTACAAAAAAAAGTAATCGCCTTTCCATACGTTTCTAAAAACTATTAAATCTAAAGTTTCCACGCACTAAATAAAAAAAAGGTATTGTTTTATTATTTTATGATTAACAATACAACTTCTTTGCACAAAAAAAGCAAGTTTTTTTTACGTGGAACAACTTGTTGTTGATATAAATTAAATATAAGAACATTGCAGTGACATCGCCTGTTTAAAAAAAGAGTGTAAGTTCTGCAGCATATATATAAACCATTGTTCTAAAATATTTTATTTTATTATTAAGCCCTACGAATGTACACTTCTGTGTTATTGCAAAACTTGCTATGTATCTTAGTATGAGATATATATTAATTTGAGCTTATATGCTTGTGATATCCTATGACACGCTAATATTTATTTGATTTTTTGAAGCTATCTTTCGGCGAGCGTAAAAAAGGTCAGTCTGAAAAGCTCCTAACGGTTGGTAATTATTAGGCTGAACTCGTCAACTACAAGTTTATATCAGTCGCTTTCATTTTGTGACACACCAACAAAACAAATACCTAGCGAGGCTATGCCCTTGTCTTAACTCTTCGGAAGAGCTTTCGCTGCATCTTCGTTGAGTTTGTGAACGTCCAGTTTTAACAGGATTTTATATAACGCATGCATACATCATAAGGAAACCAGGGAGCTTTTTTGTTTTTAAGTAGACACGTGAGGACTTGAAAAAAAATACATATTATTTATTAACACCTGTTGTTAGCTAGATTGTACGTAGTACGTAATAAGCATAGAACATAACATAAAATTAATAGAAGCATGATATTAAAATAAAAATAGTCGTGGTTTAAGTAAGGCAAAATGACTTCTAGCTTTAATAGTATGTAATCTAATGTACATTTATCGGCAACAACGCCAACTTATTCACTACAAGTAAACAGGGCAGACACCCAGAGTTTTGATGATCTTTAACTATATTCGTTCAGCATCACGTCCCGTTTTAATCATTCTATCACTACAGGCGATTGTTGTCCGTCCATTTACCACCTTTATGTACTAGGACCATCCATGACTGTTGTGTGTGTGGTGTGGAAATTCGGCCTTATCCCAAAAAAAGCTGAAAGGTGTAAGTAGGCGTTTTGGTGAAGCCCATGCAGCTTTCAAGAGCGAAACTGTCGGCAGCAATTCAGATCGCAGCACCGTGCGGTATTAATCTTTTTGAATTGACTAAAAACGACCGCTTCAGAGAAGTCTATCTAGTTTATATGCTGCTCGGTGATCGGACTGGCCTCAAAGTTATACATCATTTTGAAGTGTTCATAGAAGCCAAAACTTGTTTTCTCCAAATAATTAACACTTAGTGCTGTGAGTGGTTTTTAAAATATATAGGTTGTCCTTTATCTTCTGTTCAGAAGTAGTATACCCATAAAACCTTGCAGGATTTTGGAGATCCGAAATTTACTTTTCAGAGAGACTTGTCTATCTCTACTGTATCTGTGTTCTACGATTTTATAGTACGCACAGCTTTTTCTAACGGAAATCATTTTACCTAAAAACTTATACCAGGAAAACCGATTCATATATATATAAAGAGTACGGTACATAAATTAAGGCTTTTTCTCATTCTTTATTTCGATGCTTGTATTTAAATACGGAAGATATGTTAAAGAAAATTTGTGCATAGATTAGAAATGTCATTCTTGGCGGTCAGGTTTATTCAACGGAAAAGTTCAAAAAGTGCAAGAATTGTAAAAAAACTAACCGTTGCAATTTATCTAAACGATTCAGTAATTGTGTGTAAAAAGTAGCTTTTAAAAAAAGTTCATAAGATATATTTAGTGTATGAATTTTTCAGCTTTTTTAGTCCAAAAAGTATTGAAGATTTTCTGGTTTTCCTTATGGAAATCTGGTTCAGATTTTTCGGAAGTCACACGAAAACTGGCAATAAAAAAAGGAAGTGTTCGTGGAAGTTCTTCTGGCTTGAAGAAATCGGGTAATAGCTTATTTTGACTCAAATCGCAGAAACGGTGGATTCTTTTCCACCATTACAAATTCAGTATTTTGTCCTAGAAAGAACAGGCTTGCTTCTAGTATCAATAATAGCGGATGAACGCATACTCGTTAGAACAAACAACCCGGTAAAGTTTAGCTTAATTTCAGTGCCGTAATGCATATATGTATATATACATATACTAGGTAGTAGATCATTATAGATTATCGTCTTCTCTAGCCACAATTACAGCACGTTTTA